GACACATCTTGACCAGTTGACTAAACTGGAAAGTGGACTAATCAGATGAACTCTAACACCAAATTTACTGAAGTTTAAATAAGGTTACATAAAGAGAATGCTCTTATTCTTCCAAAATATACACTGAAATATTTAGAAATAATTACAGATGGTCAATTTAGGATTTTACAGCTATATGATGATGTAAAGAAATGGCAATGTCTTTAATGGAAAGCACACTTCAAATTCTGTTTTTTTTCCTGCTTTGATAATATTTGTTAATTTCATGCACAAAGTTGGGCAGTGGAAGTAGACAGCTACACAGATAAATAACCTACACTATATAGTATGCTATGGTGCTCAGCTATGTTGTTCTCCCAGTGAGTTTGGTGTACTGAATCCATTTGGACTTGTAATATTTTCAAGTTACACTGGATTTATTTAACAAAACTTTTCACAAGCCAAGTAGCTTCTTTATATATGGTATATACTTAATTTATAGAGCAAGTGATTAGCAAAATTGACAAAAATAATGATGGATAAAATTGAGTAGTACATTTTACAAGTTTCTAAACAGTAAATTTAAAGCTGATTCCCAAATACAAAGACATCTGCATAAAAATACAAATATACAAATCATTGATATGAACTTTCAGAAAGCTCCTGTATCCAGAGACTTCTCAGTAAAAGTGCACTCACCAGTCTGAATGAACAAGAAGAATAGCAACTATGTGATGTGATCTGGTTTAATCTTTCTTTTCTATAAATTATGTAGAGGTTATATTGAGCTATCTTCCTGTAAGCAGATAATTATTACTGTGTTTTTGTGTGTGTGTGTCGGTTTGGGGGCTTGAATTCTGGGCCTGGGAGCTGACCCTGAGCTCTTCAGCTCAAGGCAAGCACTCTACCACTTGAGCCACAATGCCACTTCCAGTTTTGTTATGGTTAATTGGAGATGAGTCTCATGGACTTTCCTGCCCAGACTGGATTTGAGCCATGATGCTCAGATCTCAGCCTCCTGAGTAGCTAGGATTTACAGGTGTGAGCCACTGGGACCTGGCTATTACTGAATTTTAAAACTAAAATAATCCATGAACAAATCACCAAGAAATGTTAAAGCTACTGGTACAATTCACACATGTATGAGAAGTGGCCACCATTGTTTCTGTTATGGACATAGACTGTCTCGCACTGTTTCTAACCTAAGCCTTGTTCTCATGTTGTCACCTGCGCTGACATTTTTCTTTCATAATAGGACAAAGAAAAACAGAAGTACATGCAAAAGTACTGATGTTTCTGAATTTTTTTAGTCAGAATGACCAAAGCCATATATACTATATAATACTTTTTAAATTATGATAGTCTGTGGAGCTACTTGTGTTTTCTGATCCATAACTTACTCAGTAGGAAAAGGAGCATTTCAAAACCTCTTAGGGTGTGTCTGAACATATCATCAAATTCCACTCATGTACTTTCTTAAATCAGAACATGCTTTCATATACTTTACCTTTAGATAATTTCACTCATTTCATAACTATAGTCAGCATGTTAGGAACTCTCAAATTTTTATCTTTAATGCCTACATCAATTTATAATTTTCAAAAAGATAAACTTAATTTCATGCAAATTCAAGATTAAACACACACTAAAGATTCTACTTAGCTCCCTGGTTAATAGAAAAATATTAAAATTAGCTCAAAGAACTTATAGGAATACAACTATATGTTCTGTCTGTATATGTGCACATACATGTATTAATATAATATTGATATTTCTTCAGTAAAATACAAGCAGATAAGTGAAACCTACAAATTTCTTTACAAATATAGATATGTAAACCTTAACAAGTTCACAAAATTGTCAGACATGTTTTTTCATGCAGAAACTCCATAGTAACTGTTCAGTTGAATGAAAATCATTAATGAATTATACTTTAAAATTATTAGAAGTATTTACAAAATATTCTGAGTGGAGATATTTACAACATAATTGTTAAATTTATGTTAATTTTACTTATTTGGTTGGTATGGCAAGATTTAAAAAAACAAATATACTCATAGTTTAATTTATAAATCCAATTTCTCTTCTTTCAACTTTATGATGTAATCTATTATCATTATTCTAATAACTTCACTAACATTCCTGCTGTTTAATTAAACTAAAATATATCTGAGCACTTTAAAAAAGAACATACATAGTAATAAGCCCTGCTAAGTAGGACAGTTAAATCAGAAATATTAATCTTAAATTATATTGAGATTGAGATTATGTGCTTCATTCTTCGAAAAATAATTTTAGTTCCATATCTGATGCAAATGCCTAGAAAGAAAATTAAGAATTATCTCTACATTTACACATCACTTTGTACTTTTAAAAGCACATTTATAGATGTGTGCAACCAAAAAGTGTGGTAGCTATATACAATGGAATTTTTCACAGCCATTAGAAAAACAAAATAATGTCATTTTCAGGGACATGGATGGAACTAGAACAAATCATGTTAAGTGAGGTAAACCAAGATCAGAGACAATCTGCACATGTTCTCTCTGGTATGTGGAAGTTAGATCTAAAATCCACTGGGATATGATGGGGCTGGGAAAGTGGCTCAGTTGTAGAGCGCTTGCCTTGCATGCATGAGGCCCTGGGTTCGATTCCCCAGCACCATATAAGAAAAAAAAGCCGGAAGTGGCACTGTGGCTCAAGTGGCAGAGTTTTAGCCTTGAGCTGAAGAGCTGAGGGACAGCACCCAGGCCCAGAGTTCAGGCCCCACGACTGGACCCAAAAACAAAAAAGCAAACACCACTGGGATATGATGAATTACACAGGATTTTAAATACTCACATACAATGAGACCAAAAGAGAATAATCTTAGGAGAGAATCACAAAGGTGCAATACCCAAGGGCCTCCTCATATGGATACAAAATAATGTACATAGTGAAGCAACCTTCAAAGATATGGAAACAAAGGAGTTTTTTTGTTTGCGTGTTTGTTTTTCTGATGATTGTATTCTTTACCTTACACTGTATACAATGTATTCCTGTGCATATCTGTGGAGGGGTTGGGGGAAGGCACAGAATCCAAGGACAAAGGGTAACAAAGTGTAGCTCTGGACTGCATTGTACATTGATGAAAGTGAACTATACAGCCGGTAGGTAGAGATGGGAGGGAGGGAATGGCAGAGAATGGGGGAACAGATGACACTGTACAAAAGGAAGTGTACTTATTATATGATGCAGGTAAATGTTACCCTCCTGTATATCATCTCTATAATAACAACAAATTAATTTTTAAAAGCTCATTTATGTATATTACCTTATATAAGTCCTACAATAGTATGGATGTGTACCTGGTCGATGATACCTAATTCCAGTTAGATATGAGGAATTAATTCAAAATATCTAGTGATGGTTATAGTTAGTGACAATATATTGTATTCCAGAAAAAATGCAGCGCAATCTTTAAGTGCAAGTGCTCTGTCCGCAAAAATAACTATATGAGGTGTTGCATTTGTTAATTAGCCAAATATTATCATTCCATTCTTTAATATATATTTAATAGATATATATCTATTAAATAATATACATAAATAAATGCATATAATTTTGTCTGTCAAGTTATAAACTAGTGGGAGATTTTCATTATTCAATTTTTGAAAAGCAGTCAAGGGTCTACTAAGGGTCTGCTAGCTCTGGGTCACAGAAGGTAAAGGCTTTTACAAAGACTGCATTGATGAGTGAGGAAATCAGCTTAGAGCAGATATATCTAATTACTAGTCCTGAAATTTTCTCACTCCACTCCTGCCATGAACTTGATGTTCACATATCAGTTTTATATTATAGTAGCTCAAGAGAGTAAAATGAGGGCAGTCAAGAGCACACTCAAACTTTAGAAATATCATAAAGCCATAATGCATATTATATAAGTATGTACTGCTGTTTTATTGATTTTTCTGTCCCATTAATACTAATTCTAAGCATGTGATCTGAGTCTCATTAGAGTCACTGCATAAATGAGGAAACTGAAAGACACTTAAGGATAAGTGATATTAAAGAAAGCATTAGAGATAAAATAGATGTTCCAATTGTGTTCTTTCTACACTTACATAAAACGTTCCTTTCTGATTTCATTAAAAGCAGTTTCATTGCTGCAGCTCTGTTGGAGCCATTTCCACTAAGAAAAGTAAATAAATAAAAATAAAAATAAAAAAGAGAAAATTTTATCTGCAAAGAAGTTGTATCTTATTTGTTAAAACTATCATCTTTACCTCCAGGGAATTCTTAGAGCTATATAATTCGAACTTTTAAATTGTACACAACTGTTAGAAGGTGGCTGTTGAAAACAGTCTGTTTTGATGATGATTATCCTCAACTTTCTAAAATTGGCTTAATTTCTTTCGGAAGATGTACACAGCAGCAGAAGCACTTGAAACCCATAAACATATTACAGCCTTTAATTTCCCCTACCTATGTGATCTATGTGTGCAAAGTACTTAAACTCTGGGGTTTTTACATTTCCTCATCAGTTAAAATTTAATTCTAACTCCAAAAATCCTTGATTCTGAACAGCAGTTTGAAATTAGACCCAGCAACCTCACAATTTGTATAATTTCTTTCTCCCCTGATTACTTTAGCAGTTCATGCTGGCCTATTAACATGTGAATGCCAATTGAATAAATCCCTTACACATTTAAATGAAGATCTTTTTTTTCCCCCTCTGGTGATATTTCCATTTGAGTCTTTTGTCTATTGATTTGTGATTATCCCATACACTAACTTGAAAATAACCTTGACTAGGTATCAAGAGATGATTTTATTCTGGGCTCTGACAGATTTCATTTGACTTTTATGAACTATATTATCTGTAAGTATAAAGTGTAATGTGGGAAATACATGCACCTTACCTACCTTGAGAAAAAGATACAAAAAAGCTAAACAAGTTGACTGAAGTTCTGAAGTATTAGGAGTATTAGGAGAATAACAAACAGCACAAACAATACTGGTGTGCTTTATTCCCACATTACCTGATGGGGAGATATGCCGCCAGGAAATGGAAGGTTCTGGCTTTCCGGTAGCCAGGCATGTAAGAGTGACATTGGTTCCTTCATTGATGGTCATATCATTTGAGATGTCATAAATCTTCGGAGGAACTGAAATAGAAAACGTGCAGAGATCAGAATAATTGTTCATCCCATTTTTTTGAATTATACATAGCTTCCTCAATAAAAAGAAATATCTAGGAAATCTCTTCTAGTCCTCACCAAAAAGAAAATATAAATTTTATTGAACCTCATGACCAAAAACTGTTAGTGGTCAGTGTCTGATGATTCGATATTATGTAGTTCAGGGTGTATGGGATATTTAATAATGGTAAAGCTTTAGAATTAAATGAAATATATATTGTAAATGATTTGTGCTAAATAAACTGGAATATAAATTATCTGTGTCTTAGACAGGCATCTTCAGTCTAATAAGGATTATTTTGTTGAAACAGTCACATACAAGGAAAATCTGGTAGAAAACAGCCCACCCATTTTGTCTATCTACTGGTTTAATAGCTACTGGAGGTAAGACTTCAGATTCACAAAAGCATTTCTAACTTCAATTTTGTATCTATGACTGGTAGGTCTAGATTTTGTAAGATCTTTATTTTGCTGTTTTTCTCCTAAGAAACACAATCTAAGGACTGTGAAAAGTGGATTCATAGCTCAGTGTTGGTGGCCCATGCCTGTAGTCTTAGCTTCTCAAGAGGCTGCTTAGTTCAAAGGCAGCCAGGCAAGAACATCAGTGTGGCTCTTATCTCCATTTAGTCACCAAAAAAGCAGAACTGGAGCTGCAGCTCAAATAGTAAAGCACTAGCTTTGAGTACAAATAATAATAATAATAATAGCTCAGGGACAGTGCCCAGACTCTGAGTTCAAGCCTTAGGACTGCCCTCATACCCTCAAAAATAAACTAGAAAATGCAGAATGAAACATGTGAAACATGTCTATATTTCAAGACTTGCCAGAACCTTTGCTATGGTCTTATGCACTGTAAGTTTACTAAACTTTAGCTAAGCCATTATATTCTTGTCTTATATTTATTAAACTGTGGAAACTTATATCACAGAATTGGATCTTGTAATAGAATTTGGTAAATGTAGACAGAAAGTCTCTAAAGCAGGATTAAATTATGATTTTTTAATTGTAAAAATACCAAACAGAGGGTTTATAATTATATGCGCAAGGTAATGAGTCCATTTCTTATCAAGCATTGTTGCCTCCTCCTTTGTTTCTCCTTCCCATACCTTCCCATCCCACCCTCCCCAAAGTTGTAAAGTTCATTTTCGGCATAATATCTTGTACATATCATTGTTGCAATGGGTTCACCTGTATCCCCATATAAACAATTTGTTTTTTCCCTTCCCCTCCACAAAGTAAACCAACATCAAATACAGTGAAAACATGGCTTATACCATGGGAGAGAGACATTCAAAGCAACAAAGAAATATCTTATAAATATGTTAGAAACCATAGTAAGAAAGAAAAAACATTTAAGTCCTTATCTTGGGGTTCATTTCGCTTAATATCAACTTATCTGACCATTTCTGCTTGTCTCAGACAGATACTAGTTATTGTAAATAAGGGAGACCATGGGACCTATGTTTCTTTGGACCTGGCTTACTTCACTTAATATGATTTTTTCCAAGTCTTTCCATTTCCTAACAAATGAGACAATGAGATGGACTAGGAACTTTCCCTGATAGCACAGCTAGTCATCAGAGAACCCACAGAGTTAAAGAATTAAATAAAACCATTTGATTTTCCAAGAAAAAATTGTAATTTAATATGGTATATATACACAATAACATTAAATTAGATTTTTTCTTGGAAAATAAAATGGTTTCAGTTAATCCTTTAAGTCTGTGGCTTCTCTGATGACTAGCTGTGTTATCAAGGAAAGTTCCTAGTCCATCTCAGACTCTGCTTCTCATTGTGGTGAGAATTAAATAAGCTATTACATGTTTTAAAATGTAGAAAAGTATATAAAATGCCAATTAGGGAAGGGAAGAGGAACAAGAGAATGGTGAGGCAAAGGACAGGGGGCAATCAATGCAATAGTAATATGCACAAGACAATATGTTGGAAATGATCTTAAAACTTGGGGGGTGAGAGTTTGGAGAGGAGGGAAAGGTAGGAGATAAAGAGGGAAGGGGTAACAAGAAATGCACTTACTATCTTATTTACGTAACTGTAACCCTTCAGTACAATACCTTGGGAACAAATATAGAAAAGTACCTGGTTTCAGTTTTAGCTCTTAACCTGCTGTAACACATGTATCCTGCTTGAGTTTAATTTCAGTATTTTTCCTTTCCTAAACTTTGAAAGTGCTTTCAAATTTCACTTGGGTAGCGCTCATAGCTTACTTGTGTCTTATGTAGGTTTCGCTCATGTTAACAAAATCATAATACATTGATAATCCAGGTCAAATAAAAATATAGTAAGTAGTCACTTTGGTAGTTATAAAAACTACATGGTTTTCCCCCTAGATTCATTATAATTGTTCATTCTGATTCTTTATACTAGATACATGCTTTAATAGTCACTTTTAATGCCAGTAACTAAAATGTGCTATGACTGCTAATTAACGCACCCATACTTTCAGTACTATCTTTGATTATTTTTTACAGAGCCATAAGAAATCAAGGATGATATGATTACAAATATAACATATTTGATCAAATGTTGATATGACTGAGGAAAAGACTTATTCCTAAGTGACATACCAATGTAAATGTTTCTAAATGACATAATTTAATTGGCATTTGAAACATATGATCATCAAACTCTTTGTGAGCTCTTCTCAGGCAAATAATAAAAAAATACAAATCATTCTAAATGGAGCACACTTTCAGCTTAACTGAAACAGAACAGAAATAATAGAGACATTAAAATACTCTGGAAAGAAAATAGAGACAAATTTGCATGAATTTATGGTGAAAATGAGAGTTAATGAAAACAGTTGTAACAAAAATTTTGTCATTTTGATATATAAATGTAGGTATAACTTTATTATAGTAAACTATGAACACATTCATAAACATATATTCATGTGTAGAAACATGTATAACATACTAATATTTATTATTAAAAGGATATATACATATATATTCTTTGCTCTTTTAAACAGAAGTGAATCTACAGAGATTTTACTCTTGCCCGGTCACTTTAATTACATATTTCAAATACATAAATGATCCAAGGTTGGACAAATCTATGCATTTTATGAGAAATGATAATATGCATGCTGTCCTGTAAACATTTATAATGATATCTGCTCATAAAATAATTACATCATTATACATGTACCGATATTTTAGGTCCTAAATCCTGTAAGTGGATATGAAGCACTCGTATTTTGGCAAAATAAGCAACCACTTCCCTTTACAATACTTAGACTTGATATTTAACCATGAGAAGTTAGGTGATGGGAAAGAGAGTGGATTCCAGGTGTGGCATGTCATCTCAGTGATTACAATCACCTCCCAGGGACTCATAATTCAATACACACAGCGAGGAAGAAACATCTGGAAACAGGATGTTTGTAGGAGAAAAAATCTGCTGGCAAGGAACTGCTCCCAGTATCCATCACCTGTTGGTAGCAGATGCTGGATAAAGTGGACCAGTAGACTTCTTCAGATATACTGTGGTTGCAGGCAAAGTCAATCACTGCAAATTTGATGTTCACAAGTTTCAATCTCTACTAAAAATTTACTGATATTTTGAAGTTAAAAGAAATGCTAAAATGCAAACACATAATAATAGCGTTTATAAAACAAAAAATTCATGGGACATGAACCTGAGGCAGAAGTTCTCAATTTCTAGGTCAGAATAGATTACATAATGAATGGGTGCTAGGCTACTCTGTTGATCATTGATATCTTTAAAAATGTACAAAATCACTCAATATAATGTTACATATAATTGACGAATAACATAGGACAACAAATGAACTTTTAGAGAACTGATTGGTGGGTGATAGTCACAACTGTCAATTTTGCCAGGAGAATCATGTCAAATATTGGGTAAAGTTTCGAGAAGGTGTCACAGCTCATCAGGATAATGGACAATGAGTGAAAGAAGAGATATTTCTATCCTGGCTGCTGGAACAGGAAACAAGAGTATGTTTCTGAAATTTCTCACAAATTTCTCTGATATAGTTTGATGTTAATGAATGTTTTGTGTCACTGATAACTTAAAGTGTGGTAGATTTTTCTGAGTATGTGTTGTTATCTGAATGTTTACATCCACCCCAAATTTGTATCTTGAAATCATAACTCCCAATATGATCACATTAGAAGGTGGAGCTTTAGGAAATGATTGGATCATTAGTGTGATTAGGACATTTTACAAGAAATCTTTGAGAGCTAGCTGCCCTTTCCACTATGTGAGGTCTAAATGAGGTGTCATCTTTGACAAAATGGGTTTTCACCAGCACCAGCCCAGCATGCACCTTGATGTACTTGGCAAAATAAGCAACCAGCTTATTTCCAACTTTCAGAAAGATGAGACGTGAATTTTAATTGTATGTAAGTCATTTAGTTTATGGTAGTTTGTCATGGTGTCCTAATAGATGAAGAGAAGATGTTTAATTATTTGCTATCTGTTGTTGTAATTGGTATATATTTCTTTAACTGCTTTTTGACTCTTCTTCTCTTCATAAAACATAGAGGACCTGTAAATTTTAATTATTGCAAGAATGGTAATATAAAATCTGAGATGATAATGAAAATACTATTACAGTTCCTAGTACATCGTATGGTATTTTTTCCTGGATTCCCTGAATAGAATTTTTTTAATTTAATTTTATTTTTTTGTGAACATACTAAGTCATAGGATTTTAATTCAGGTCTTTGAAAATTTATATGGATTAACTATGCAGCCATTTTTGGATTTTTGTTTGTTAATTCATGTATTTCTATAGCTGGTATAACAGGAAACAGGCACACACTATCATACCTAGTCCTGTTTCTGATGACAAGGGGGTCTCACCAACACTTTTTTTCCTTGGGTCAAACTTGGAACTTCCATTCTCCTTCTGCTTCATTATGTAGCTGGGATGATGGATGGGCACCATCATGCCAACCTATTGAAGTGTGATTTTATTA